GTTTATATAAGTTCTAATTTTCTTATTTTCAGAAATGCTGGTTGTACAACATCTGTAACTGATAAAATGATATCGGAAGATTCTTTAAAGATCGAAATTGATGATCATGCTCCACTTTTGGATGACTTTAAGTATGTTTTTAATGTATTTTTAATAATATAATGATAAAATAATGTAATTTATTAATTCCAGAAATGGCGAATATTTGTCTATTACTAATGAAGTAAAATCAGAAGATTTTTAAAAATAGAGCCTGATAAACGATCGGGTTAAGTATGTTTTTTTTAAATGTATTTTTACTAATACCGTGCTGGCAACTGTTACTTTTGGGTCGGTATTTACATGAGTGGAAGTAAATCGCATAGGGATCTTATTAAGTCGGAGTGAGAGAAACTGCGACGGTGTGCTGTTGCGGCGTTGCCGGTACGTCTTTCCCTATCACGTAAAGTAAATTTGGTGTATTGTGATGATTTAGTGTTTTTATTTTGCTGTGTAACACCCTCAACTGTAATCGTGTAACTTTTTTATTTATAAAGACTTTCACATACTGTCGGTATTAAGAAAGTTTTTGAAAAGAAACTACAATCAGTTATTTTAATAGATTTCGAGATATCGATTTTTAATTCAAAGTTCTATTAGCGCGACCACTGTCGAACACCAACTCAATTCCCCTTATTTTTATCAAAAATGCTGTGTTTCTAACTTGCACTTAAGAATTTTCAAGCTATAGGGAAAATTAAAACGACTCGTTAATAAATAAACAAATAAAGTATCGCGAGACGTAATTAAATCGTGAAGCTGAACGCATGATGTACACCTATCCCTTAGAACTTTAAGTACTGACAGAGGCACAAAACACATACACAAGAAAAAGTGCTAGCGCCTTGCTAAATATTGGAAAGTGAAATTGACGTTTAAATTTGACACTGTTGACAAGTCTACTGCTACTAGCGCCCCCAATATCGCTTGTAGGAACTACGGACTAGATGTCACGAATGGCGGGAAGTTTAAAAAAATAAAAAAAATTAATTTTTTATTTATTTTTAATTGACATATAAAAACATAAAAAATACACCATTTTTTAAAAATATGTTTAATATCAATATCAAATATACAACAGAAATTAATTTCACCACAATAAATTAATAAAATTAAAAGAATAATGTTACAAGTACAGATCAAGAGACAAAATTAATTATAACAAAACTGAAAAAAATGGCGTCATAGATGGCTTAGAAATGAAGATATATATCATAATTTTGAAAGTAAAATTATTTGGGAAATGTCATCGATCATCATTTTTAAGCCAACTGGACGATTATTTGAATAAATATCAGAGAGAGTACAGGTATTTCTCTCTTTTCCTCTGGGATGCTTTATATCTGTTGTTCTTTGTTTTCCTATATTTCTCAGAGCATAATACCGAACACGACTATATAAAATTTCAATATCCTAAGTAGAAAGAGAAAAGATCACCTTTCTGTTTTGTACTATGGTCCCTTTCTTCCGACGGCTCATCTCGTTGATATTAGGTCCTATCGAATCGGTCCTGGGATGAAAAAATATAAAATTTAGTTTGATTTGATGATCCTGTTCTGTCACCTAAATCAGGAGAATGACAATGAGCATGTTAAGATGAAAAAAAATTATTTATCAACACACGTTAGTTCGAGGAGTTTTATCAAAAACCTATATTTGCCTAAATAATTTTATATATTAAATTTGCAAAGCAAACTGCAGCGTGTAAACAAAAGAAATAAAATGGCGACTGTGATGGCGACCAAATGGCGACAAGTCAACGTCAACGACCCGACAAGTAGAAAAGTCGTGTTCGAATAACAATTTATGGGTCACCAAAAATGGGTTTTGTCTCCTTTCAACGCACGCTTTAGAAAGAAAAAGAGATGAACTCAATTACTGAAAGAACGTCAAGGTTTTATCTGTCACTCTTCGTCAATAATTTATCGGTAAGAAAGATTCCTTGAAAATCGCTTGTAGTCAAGTTTTGAACCATTGCCAGTTCTCCCATAAGAAGTGTCATCCACCTGGACAGAGGTACTGATTGGGTCGACCGGTCGACTGCGACAAATCTGCTATATTCCCTTCCACGTCTCATAGCAACGTTCACAGTTTCTCGGTTTATTTCATACGTTTGGCAACGTGTTTATTGTTCTCTCCTTGTTTAGTATATTATAAACGCATTGTACTTTTCTTACATACGGAAATCTCGACCCAAGACTAACCTTTGCCAGCCCTTACTATAATAAAACTATGATGGCACAAAATTCCGCCATAAGTTTTGATTTACTCCGGTATAAGCCCGCATAACCGAAATATATAAGCCATTAAAATAATAAAAAAAATAATGCCAACAATTTTTTCTCCAATCTAATAAAAAAAATAGCAAAATAAAACACTAAATCACCACAATACACCAAAACACTTTTACTTTTACACTGGACGCGCGTTTCGCTAACCATGTTAGCATCATCAGCAGATGATTAAAAACTAAACTACAATCTACAATTTGAACGTTTATACTCGCTACGTTACTCGCTCAGTGGGCACCAAGTGGGCGTGGCAAGATCTAGCCAACCGAGTCAGAGCCCACCGAGCGTAACAGTTAGATTTCCGCCACTAGAGTAGTAGGAACAAAGAACTTGGAGGAATTGGACCGTTGTCTATATATATTGGGCAAACTAGAAGATCAATATACATATTAACTAGATTTAAAGAACATTTCGCTCAGATAAGATATGGTAGACCGGATAAATCTTGCGTTGCTGAACATATTGTTGATAAAGAACATTGTATAGATCTTAATAATTTAAAATTAATTAAACAAGTCTCAAATTACAGGCAATTAGATTCATATGAATGCATCATTCAAGTTCTTTGTTCCTACTACTCTAGTGGCGGAAATCTAACTGTTACACTCGGTGGGCTCTGACTCGGTTGGCTAGATCTTGCCACGCCCACTCGGTGCCCACTGAGCGAGTAACGTAGCGAGTATAAACGTTCAAATTGTAGATTGTAGTTTAGTTTTTAATCATCTGCTGATGATGCTAACATGGTTAGCGAAACGCGCGTCTAGTGTAAAAGTAAAAGTGTTTTGGTGTTTACAGTTGAGGGTTGGGACCTTTGGTAAAAATATTAAAAATTTGGCTAAAAATATTAGAAATAATAATTGCCTGGAATTTGTTATCTATAGGAAAAATACCACTACACGCAGATATATTCCTAATGAATCATATCATAGTGTTGAACATAAAATGGCTAGTTTAAATTTCTTAGTTCATAGATTACTTAGTTTTCCATTTTCCAGCGAAAGATATGAAATAGAAAGAGATTACATTAGAAATGTAGCTGAGTGTAATGGATATTCTCCTTCACTAGTTGATAAAATAATTAGAAAACGTAGGTATAGGTTAATAATTTCTGAAAATTCGACTTTTTAAGTGGAGAAAGATACGTCAAAATATTTTTCAATACCGTTTGATAGAGTTATCCCGTGGTCTAAAAGGAATTTTTAAGAATGTCAATTATAAACTTGTGTATAGTGCTAATAATAAATTACAACAATTATTAGGTAATCCAAAGGATAAAACACCTCCACTGGAAAGGTCGGGTATTTATGAGATTTCTTGTAAAGATTGTAATCAGAAATATGTTGGGCAAACTAGAAGATCAATATTAACTAGATTTAAAGAACATTTAGCTCAGATAAGATATGGAAGACCGGATAAATCTTGCGTTGCCGAACATATTGTTGATAAAGAACATTGTATAGATCTTAATAATTTAAAATTAATTAAACAAGTCTCAAATTACAGGCAATTAGATGCATATGAAAGCATCAGAATTAATAAATGTAAAGATAGTATGAACAGAGACAACGGTCCAATTCCTTCAAGCTTTTTGTTCCTACTACTCTAGTGGCGGAAATTTAACTGTTACGCTCGGTGGCTCTGACTCGGTTGGCTAGATTTTGCCACGCCCACTCGGTGCCCACTGAGCGAGTATATAAACGCTCAACTTGTAGATTGTATTTTAGTTTATAATCATCTGCTGATGATGCTAACATGGTTAGCGAAACGCGCGTCCAGTGTAAAAGTAAAAGTGTTTTGGTGTATTGTGGTGATTTAGTGTTTTTATTTTGCTGTTTTGGTGTATTGTGGTGATTTAGTGTTTTATTTTGCTGTGTAACACCAAAGGTTCCAACCCCCAACTGTAATCTACAAACTAATACCATAATCATAAAAATCGGTTTACAAATTAAAAAGTTATGAAATATCAAACTTGATCAAAATTTTAGGGTGGCGGAATTTTGTTCCGGGGGTTTATAATACAGGGTGGTCCGAACTGTATTCCGGAAACTTTGGCAACATATACTGCAGATGAAAATAAGTAAAAAAGTTCATATAACTGCATGTCCTAAATGCTGAGTTTCGGAGATACAGGGTGTAAGTTTCATTTTTATTTCGATTTTTTTCAAATAATTTCTAAAGTAATGTCAATATTTGGATGAAAATTGGTGTCTGGGAGTTTTTTGACATGAGAAATTTGATTTTGATGTTCATTTGCCTTCTATTTGTAGAAGGCGCCACCTACATGTGTTTTAACTGTTTTGAAGAGTAATAACTTTTCGTCCGTACCTGTATAAAACTACAAAATGAAAAAATATACATTTCCGTGACTTTTTACGTAAAAAATGTCTCTTGGTAAAAATCGCTACGAACAACTGTTATCAAGATATTTATTATGGAAATAGTCAATACATGTCATTATTGACAGAAAATAAACACGTTGAGAGTAGATAGTTATTTCACTGAAATAATAAATTTGGGAAATTTTTATTTTTCTTAAATTAATCATAAATTTATTTGTGAAAAAATGATGATAATACAGTTTCTGTTGAACTTTTGGCATAAAAACTATTTATGCTATATTCCATTGCTTACCTTGGTTATGGTTTTATGTTGCGTTTCTATCGGTTTCCTCAAAGTTTTGTTACAACGGAACACGGTTTCTGAAAAATATCTGTCATAATTGTCACCAAACTAACCAGCGCGGGAAGGCTGGTTTTTCTGTGTTTGTCAATCAATGTCATTTATGTGGCAGAAATGAAGCAGAAATTGCAAATTTGAGTGAAATTCTCATTTAATTTATAAAATTGGTGTAATTATTTCGTAGAAACAATGGAGGTAAGTAGTAATGGAAACAATGGAGGTAAAGAAATTTCATTAACTAAATAGAGTGACTTTTTAGGACCATTTAAACTTATCATGCGGCCATTGTTTCAAGTTAGGAACATTGAACGAAATCATGAGAAGCGAGACAAGAAGTGATTATGAATGTTTTGTGAACTATGAAAATATAAATATTCTTTAAATCTATTTATTTAGTATTGATTTATTTTAATATCAATCAATTTCCTATGTGGCTACGGACCTGCAAATCCTCATCATTTGAGCTGTTTGACGAGTTTAACAGTTCATTAATAAAGTACTTTTCAATACTAAACTCCATTGAAAAGAAGAATCAAGCATAAAATTAGAGAATAGGTTGAAAACATCATACATTGAAAGCATACATTAAAGATGTGTAAAAAATCAGTTCTATAATAAAGGTATTGAAATTTAGAAAATGTCAACATTTCACATATCCAGTATTTTACCAAAACGTTCCGTATCTAACCGATGTTTTTCAGGAACCGCTCTTTACCGTATTTTACCGGTTTGGTTCACCTGATTTTGCAACGGAATACGGCCTTAGTCAACATGTTTAATTTATGTCAATGATCACAGGTATTGATCATTTCGGTTCCAAATATCTCGAGAACCATTACTCGTAACGATTTTTACCAAGAGACCTTTTTTACGTAAAAGACGTCGTAAATGTATATTTTTTAAGTCACTAATTTTATACAGGTACGGACGAAAAGTTATTTCTCTTCAAACCAGTAAAAAAATATGTAGGTGCGCCCCCTACAAGTCGGAGTCATATTAACATCAAAATCAAATTTTTCATGTCAAAAAACTCCCAGACACCAATTTTCGTGTAACTTCATAAATTATTTGGAAAAAAATCGAAATAAAAATGAAAGTTCTACATCCTTATCTCCGAAACTAAGAACTTTTTTACTTATTTTAATGCCGCAGTTTCCGGAATACAGTTCGAACCACCCTGTATAATAAAATAACTTTTTTATCGATTCCAGAAATACCGAAAATTTATGTGTAAGTGAGTGAAGTTAGATTTTTTTTTATAAAAATAGAACCTGGCACTGGCGTTACGTTTCTAGATAAAGACACGCGTTTTTAGACGAAAATATTCATAACGTAATCATAAAAATTAAAAAAGAATTAACTGATCAAAATTTAAAAGAAAATTAACTGATTTATTTAATTTTCATATGTACACTTTTATATTTTTAAGTTTTTATATTTGTAGTGATATTTTCAAAAAAAAGTTTTATAAGTTGGTTGCAGTTTTATTTTAATTTATTACAAGATCTGTAATATGTATAGAAATTTAATTCTATCAGCAGTTAAGTGGCAAGAATCCTTATATAATTTTATTATATACCTATACTGCAAGAAATTTGTTTTCTATTTTATAGTTTGGCTTGCCTGAAAAAAAAGCCTTTTACCGTCCTTTTACTATCGATAGATGCGCCTCGGTGGTACGAAAGTTCGTACTCTCCGTTCGGGACTTAATATCTAACCGACACTTTCCGACAAGTCGGAGTTACTACCTCTGCGCTGTGGTTGTCATTTTGTGGATCTGCCCAAGCTCACCTGATGATGGAGTAGGGCTCCGAAACCGGTAGTGAGAGCAGGTTGATCCACATTATGACAAACACAGCGTAGAATTAAATTTCTATATCAGCAGTTAAGTGGCAAGAATCCTTATATAATTTTGTTATGTAGCAGATATATGCTTAATTGTAGTTAAAGTATGTATTCACGGGGGTGTCACTTGTATGGGAAAACAGGCTACAGTCAAATTTAAACGTGCCAGGACCAACGACAAAGAAAGCAACATGTGCCAGGCATTGGCTTTCTTTGTCACTCACATTGCTTAAATCATGATACCGCGGCCATTTTGCCAACAAAGAAGCTGGCCGGGCTGTCCTGGCAAGTGATTTAAAACAATTTTGCTTTTTTACAATATTAAATTACCATTTGGATGTATTTAATGCGATTATTCAGTTAACTGGTAAGTCAGAAATTACACACAAATACTTTATTCGTAAATACAACTAAGATGTAAACGTATTTTTGTATTTTTAGATTTCAACTTTTGCAAAGACCCGCCGCCGATAGAACTTGCCTGGCAGCGTACCTGTTTAACTAAACGTATTATTTCCTGATAATAATATCAAAACACGTAAGTACCTCTATAATTTATGATGAAAAATGATTTTGATTATGTTTTATATTATTTAAATACTTTCTAACCTCAAATAATAGTAAGATCCTTGTTTATATCGCACAGCTCGTTCAAAACTGTATTGTCTTCAAAAAATGTTTACAAAACAAACAATTATTACAAAAACAATGTCCTTTTAATCTGATTTTTACCTCAGAAGGATGCCAGTAAAATTTTATTAAATCAACATTATATTATTTGGCCATTAATATGCAAAAAGGAGCATATTGCCTTAACTTAAATTTTCTTTTACTTCTCCTGACAATGTTCTCTATATTCTCTATTTTGAGTTAGTAAACTTTTGAACGGGATGTGCGATATATAAAATACATAATATATCCAAGGGTATGATCTGATAAAAGTATTTTTTGATGCATTTTTTGGTTGTTTATGCACGTTGGCTTGGTTTATGTTTTATTCAGCTTATATTTATTTGGTATAACAGTTTTTTTGCCTTTGGAATGGCATGCATTGAGGCTAGATAGTGTTTCATTAGATCATTAAAGGAATTTAAATTAGCATATATTTTTTGTGATATTAGTGTGTTATCATGATACAGGTAGTTGTATCATAGTGCCTTATGCATGTTATTTACCTATTATATACTTATGTATTATCAGTAAATAGATGATAACATACTACTAAAATGTCTTTTTTAGTATGTTTATCTTTCCAATTCACTAGTTATTTGCAAAATGTATTTTGAACTAATTTAAGTCATTAATTGATCATCTTTCTTTTTCAGGTTCCGGTATATTCTTTTTCATTGTTAAAAAAAATATATATATTTCAATATTATTGTAATATAAATCGCAGCTCTAAAAAATAAATCATATTGTTTACTAATGTGTAATTTATTTACTATGAATTTTCTCTGAAAATAATAAGTCTTTAATAATATTGATTTGCTGTGTAAAGTTAATAGACATATTTTTTAATACATTAAATTATATTAAAGTAATAAAAAATATGTTTATTAACTTTAAACAGTAAGTCAGTGATACTTATAAAAATATTTTTTTTTAAATTTCCCCTCTTTTAAGCCCCGCCCCTCCAATTCCCCTCAATTTAGCTAGTACTGCCAGGCGACACCAGGTGGCGTCTGTTTCCATTTTTTAACATGAAGTTAGCATTTCTTTAATGTACCTATTCTCTGTATGTATTGAAAGAAAAAATAGTGTTATAATAGCTATACTGCTCAAAACACAATTATCGCGTATTTTCTAAAAAAAAATAATTTGAAAAACAAGACACTTTGAGGACACTTTGAATTCCCTGACTTACATCAGTTTCAAATAGCTTGGATATTGTGAAGGGAAATTCGAAACAATAAGCCTACGCGTTGACCTGCAATTTTTAGTCGACCGACTAGGGCCTACAGAAAAAAATATCTATAACTAAAGGGGCTATGAGAAACTGCTGGAAATTATTCTCAAGTTCTTAAAACGGCCGCTAGAGGGCGCAACTGCTGTGGAAAATAAGAAAATTTAATTTTTACAGTATTTTGCCTAGGGACTATAAATAATAGCTTCATAATATTCAGTAAATTTTGGATTGGTTTGGTTTGGATATTGTCGAGTATTTTCAGGATCCCGAAAGTCCATCAATATATTGAAAGTACATCAATATGTACGGTCAATAATATTGACAATAGTCAATAATATTGACAATATTATTGATCGTGTGAGGGCCGCTTTACTCTATATTGTACCATAAAAAAAATAATAATAAGGTTTTGAACGTAGACGCTAGGGGGCGCTTTCTTACAATTTAACAAACATAGCGCGTTTTTTTTTAAATAAATACGATAGTATTATATGTAATTTTAGCTGATAGTAAAGAGTAGTAAAAGCTTAAAAAGCCAGCGAAAACCGCATCTTGATATCTTCTTTCAAACCGAAGATATTAGCAAAATTATAATATATACGAAAAAATAAGCTCTTAATAACCTTATTTTTACAACGCTGTATCAGTAGCCCCTGCAGGGCTATAGAAGAGAAACTGGTTAATAAAAGTTATTATTATTATTATTAATAACGATAAAACTACTTAAAGAACTATTTACAACTTATTTACTACTTATCTAACTATTTATCTAAAAGGAATTTATTTCGAATTTAGCGCGTCAATTGTACGCGTCGACCGCTCGGTTGTTTCTGTCTTCTTCGGGCCCCAGGCGTCGGCTTATATATGAGAGAAACAGACAGTCGAGATCCGTGTCTCCAGACTATTCTTTTCGTCATTGAACGGCGCACGGTGGGGTATTAGCATGAAAAAGGTGATCGAAATTCGAAAAAGCAAATGTGTTTAAGATTTCCCAAAAAAAGATAAATGATAAGTTAAATCATGTCTGCCATGAATGGCGTTTTCTATGGGTGTGTTTAGTTGCATTCATTTGGTTCAACAAAACGTCAGAGTTGTTACCATAGATAAATGCAACAAGTTTAGATTGGAACGCCCGTAAAAATTTTAGGTCGCGAAATTATTTTGGGTCGCGACCGTTATACGCGATCTGGCGCTGCTATAGCGGTCGCTAAGAACAACGGCAAACAAAAACAGAAATAATTTTCTCTTGTCAAAGTCAGAATCTTCAAAAATCATAATATTGTTTCAAAATCTAAACCGCTCTCATTAAAGAAATTCCGAAAAGTGTTTATAGCGTCCATTTTCAAAGTAATAATTGCTATCTTGTGAGTTTAATTCAAGTTTTATTTACTCCAACCGGTGATAATTGTGAAAAAGTGGCATTAAAAACTTAAAAGCTGTGCTGTGAACTGTGAACTGCAAAACCATCGTGGATCGTGGCATAACGTCGGTTTCCAATATTTCATAGGTATTTCATACATGCGTCCTTATATAAAATAAAGTTTCTTGTATGCAACACACAGTCTTTTATTTATAAAATTAAACGAAAATAATAATAAATTTGAATAAACAATATTTGGCGATATAATTCCGGAAAAAGCCGAACCGCTCCGAAATTTTCAAAAGTTTTGGGTCGCGACCGTTGCTAGATTAGCGCCAAATAGTGTTTACATTGTCCTTATGGGCACTTTCCATCTAAACTTGTTTCGTTTATCTATGGTTGTTACTTCTCACAGATAAGAGGTAAATGGCTAAATTTTATGTTTAAAATTATAAATTGTTGTTGTTCTTGTGCTCTTTTTACGTTTATATTATTGTTTTGATTGAAAATGGATCAGCAAGCTGCAGGTATGTATTCTACAAAAACGTATTATTTATTTTGATATTCTCTATACTAACGATTTTTTTTGCAACTAAAAGTTAGGCGTTCAGAAAATTTGATTAAATTTGTGACATTTATTATACTTAGAGATTTAGTTGCGCCTTTCGAAGAATTCAGCATATTGTCTATATACGTTTTACTTAGCAAACATTGGGCTTTCATACAGTAAAATAAAATACTGCGACTTTTTGCGACTTTGCTGATAAAATGAGAAAAACATTCTTGGTTTCCTCTAATTTGCCAATCTGTGATATACTAATGCGAGGTGTAAACCGCGATGGCATTGTTGTGTACAAAGCGATCGCATTAGTGCCATTAGCAGTATAGCACAATTTGGCATTAGTAGCGACTTTAGTGGTATGGGCATTGCTCGTGGATCAGTCGTAGCATTAGTAGTATTAGTTGCGATATTACTACTGGCATTAGTAGCATTGACAGTGAAAACACTGGAACAGTGATTTTTCTTTCTTTTTTAGAATCGACAAATTATGCTTTTTTTGTTCATATTATTTCCTCTTTAATTGAAAATAGCAATAATTTATATAAGGTCTACATAAAAAAAATTCGATCAACTATCTGTGTCAAATACCCCACTGTGCGGCGGCGGGGCATATTAGTCAGCTTAGGCCGAGTCCACACGGATCCGAAACACTATAATACCTACCCTTAAAAATATGTTCTTATAGGAACTATACATTACGACTTAATTATAATTATTATGCTGACAATACATTTTCCTGGACTGTCGAGAAATACGAAAAAATGCAACTTACAATACCACCTTGAATATAATTATTATCAAGGTGGTATTGTAAGCCCGCTTTTCTCATATATTTGTTGTTACAATGCGTACACGAAAATAACTTTTCTTCTTCCGGTGCCAAATGGA